CACTAAATATAACTAAGGGGATCATTTGCTAGCAGAGTCCCTGTAAGTATGTACATGGAGGAATCAGGATGCTGATTGATTTCTAAACAACACCTTTCCAGGGTATTGTTTAAAATAATTTGTTTCCAATAGTTTGTGGAACAATAGATTGTTTCATAAGAAAACAAAAACAGAAAAAGACATAGACCAAACAAACATGTTTCATTCTGCTCTCAAGAGTCTAAAAGAAAGCCCGACCCAGTCTTAACTGGGATCTGTTACTTTTCCTGTCTTTATGTGGCCCAAACCTGAGGCATAAGACACGCACCATGCAAGAGGAAGAACAGACTATCAGGTACAAGTAGCAGGATTCAATACTCATAAAATAATGTAATCCTTCACTCTCTGGGAGGGTATTTTATTAAAATCCCTGAATGACTTAAATGTTTTTAAATGTTGGCATAGTTGGATAAAGGGAGGAATATCCAATTTATAGAACTATGAGCAGTAATAACAGCTGCATTTCACATTAATTAAAATAGTATCATTAGCATTTCCTTTCAGATTCTTCGTGATCAAGCCAAAGGCCTCAGGCAAGAATTAAAAGAAATTAAACTTAGAAGATGAACCATCCGAGGTCTTCTACTCAAATACATTTACTGTTCTGGTTACAGTACCTCATAAAAGGCCAACAGAACTGGCTGAGAAGCAGAGAAAGGGAACTAAAAAGGCCAAGAGCACGTCCTAGAGGGAGGGGGAGTGAGGAAGCAGATAAAAAAAATAATGAAACTCTTCAGTTTTGAAAGATCAAGATGAAGAGGTTTACAATTGAGGCCAAAAAACAATAAAGGGCATGGTTAAGGTAAACAAAGATTTGGTCTTCAAATCCTGCAATGAGGAGCACTCTCTGAACTTGAGGGGCTCCTACCCAAGATAAATAAAAGGAGATAATAATTTACTAAATTATGAAATCCCTGCTGTCTGGGTGATACACAGAAAAGAGAGACAAAAAGCTTAGATAGATAGATTCAAGATGACAGACACAAAACAAGTTCTTAAGGGAAACTGAGACGTTTGAGAAAGGCGCCTGACATTCTGGGGCAATATCAGGAGAATATAATTCCTTTTAAAATATATTCTTTTGTATCCCTGTTATGGACCACAGGCCCATCCCAAGGTGAATTCTATGCTACCAAGAAGCACAATGGTTATTTCAAATGTAATAAACCTGACCATTAAATATTTATGCTTAAATGCAGAGAGACAAAAAGAAATCGACTACGATACTACTTATTGGGGAATATATAAGCCTCAGGAGATAAAGTCTACAATAAGGAGCCTAGTAAGACAGGACAATTGTCCTTTTTATGACAAAGCCCTTATTACTTAAAAACTCTAGCTTCACACATTCTGAATTGACAGCTACTTTCCAAGCTGGTATAGAGAGTTCTAATACTGGGGCTGGATACTGGATACACTGAAAAGTTGCCATCACTTTGTACAATTTTGGTATTAACAATGAGAGTGAACATTCCCTGAGAAATTCTCTAGACTGTACATGCTGTCTCTCCCCACTGTCCTTCTTCCTTGGGAGTGAGGGGTTAGTCTCAGAATGAAGGCAGGAGATAAATACTTTGAAAAAGCATCCCAAATACTTCTGCTATTTCCCACCCCTACCCCAGAGAGAGCCATTACTGACAGTCACAAAAAATAGTCCTGAACCTTTCATTCCACCTTCTTGGCTACTTGGGCCTTTGTTAAGAATTTCCTTTTTAATATGCAATATTCCTTAGTTCACTACATTGTACAGATAAGCACCTTGCAGGAGAGTACTGGCCCACGGAACCTCTGTGATGTTGGAAATGTTCCATATCTGGACTCTCTAATATGGTCCCCACAGCCACACGTGACTACTGAGTATTTAAAATGAGACTAATGAGACTGAGCAACTAAATATTTAATTTTAAATAATTTAAATTTAAATAGTCACATGTGGCTAGTGGTAGCCATATTGCACAGTGAAGTTCTATATCAATTGGCTTTGTAGGTTAGTATCATACTAAAGATTCAATGATGACAACGGCTAATCAGTTCTATGCAGAGAAAATGCTGCTCCAAAGCCACAGTTAGGGCCTGTTACCTGGCCAACTGCCTGCCTTAGGAAACTGCATCACTGTGCATGATTGTTAGAGAAATAACTATGAAAAAGGGTAGATGGCCAAAAGCAAACTTATCACCACTGTGGGAAATGGAATCCAGAAGATTAGCTTATGGATGGTGGCTCGGGATATCATTCCATAGTTAAAATATGAGAGTGTATTGTTTACCTCTTCTTCAAAATGATAATTCCTAGGATCATGTTGGCAATTAGAGAACCCTGTAAAAGGAAGACAACAGTAACAGAGTTTTAGTGCACTAGGGAAAGAAAAAACACATAATTCAAAATGAACATGAACATGGACAATGGGGAAAAACATGGAATGGAGGAGACAGGGATGAATAATTAATAAGGTTCAGTTGTTCTTGTGATGGTAAAAAGTACAGATCATAGAAGTCTATCATGTAAAATAATAAAACCTTGTAAAGATGACAATGAGAGTAAAAATGATCAATTCTCAACAACTGGTCATAGCTGAAGCTAGGACTAGCAGGAATAAATGATATTACAGGCTTGCTTTTGTCAAATTTTCCATCTCTCTAAGTTATAAGAGCTTTTAATAAGCTTCTTCCGACCCCCAGGTTTTGTTTTGTTTTGTTTTTTTCCTTTTTGTCTTTTTTTACTGACCGGTAACGGGATCGCAACCCTC